CTTTATCAATAATGGAAGAAGAGGCTATTCGACAACTTGAGGACCTGGTATAATTATAAAGCATATCAATTTAGAATACTTCTCACACTTTACACAAAGGGAGTAACCAGAGTACAGGCTAAAAAGGCTTTAGCTGTAAGACCTTATATATATATATATGTTTCAATAATCTCCAATGTGCTCATCAATAGAGATACAATAATGATGTCGCTCGAGCTGCAGATTTTATATTTTCAGGAAACTTCATTAGTGACGATGAAGAAGAACAAAATGTAAACCAGTTTATACAAATAATACACGCGATGCTTATTTTACATACAGGAACAAGATAGCGAGGCTTTAGCCATCAGTTTGAGCTTACAAGAAGAAGAAGAGAGCAAAAGACAACTTGAAAAGACAAAAAGTACTGTTTCATGTAAGAAATTGTGCACATATTTACAACAACGCCCACTTATATTATTTAGCTGACTACTCCAATTTGAGTGTCGTTCCATACAAAGAACCACAATGGACGCCACAGACAGTGCCCAGTAATATAAAGCAGATAAACAACCATTCGTCTGTTACCTGGTGGAGTGATCCGTCAAGTCCACTTGATCGAGCGGCCAAGGATGATGTGTAAAGAAAAAGTCTCTTTTTTTGGATTACATGTATTAAGTTTTTCTTATTCAGACCGATAGGTTTACGACCGCCTTCTTACAATTTTAGTTATGCACCTGTTATTCTACAGGCACTGTTTCATATCTCTGCCTTCCAGCACGCTGTTCTCTCTTTCCGCCCTATACCTTCATCTTGGGGATCCACGTCAAACTATTGGAAGGGCCAAGGAGAGCCCATGCCAGGATATGTCACGATCAAAAAGGTCGTTCAGCAGAGTAGTGAAGACTTGACAAAAGATGAATTAGGATATAATGATATTAACGAGGGCGCGGTTCAGGAAGGCATCTTGGAGGAGGATGAGGATGAGGAAGAGAAAGGATGGGTAGAGGCTGAGGTAAAGTCATTACCAAAATGCTTACAAGTATTGGGTGAAATGCAAAAGTTGTTTGCGTTCTTGGGAAATACCAAGAGACAATATGGAAATGTATCGGATTATACAAAGGCATTAAACACGAGGTCCAATTGGGAAGAAGATGAAATACAATTTGAATGTAAATATAAAAAAGGGGGACGATGAGATGGAATGTATTCATATAAAAAAAGCCTTTTTGGACATGATCATAGGAAATTTAGCAGACTGTGATCAGTACGTAGATCCATCAACGGACGCTTCTCATAAACCATCATTCAAAAGGTAAAAACTTGGATTCTTTTTTTCTTGTTTGGTAGCTTATGTATTTTGTAAAAGCTTATTTCTGATGAAAGCAAAGACTGAATGTGGCCAAGACTATGATGAAGATGACCAGGTGTATTTTCTCATATCCTTTTTATTTTATTTTATCCATATGTTATCTGTCCTTTTATATTAATCCTTAACTCATAACCAATACACCCTTAGCCCAGAGAAAGGATCAAGTTCTTTTTACGAGTGCCTTGATCCACTTGTGTATGAAAGTTATGCAAATGAACCCCGAGAAGAAGACGAGCCTTTGTACAAGTTTACCAGTTTTATATCCACTCCTCCCATCCTATTTATTGTACTGGAAAATAGAAGTAAATCCAACTATGATTATCGTATAGATACCACCATCTATCTGGACAGGTATATGCATCACAATAAAGAATGGGCTCTAGAGGAATTCCGAAAAGTACACAACTATCATGCAGACATCAGACAGTCTCAAAAAGAGATTGATAAATTGGAAGGCAGTGTTCATTCGATCAGTAAACGGGATTTGTTACATCATGCTATTGATTACTTTAAGGAAAAGAAGGCCATTGATCAAGATGTAGAGACTATACAATACGTTTTAGAAAATATCAAGCAAAAGATGACCGAAAAGGCTGAGCGGCTAGAATCACTTTTAAATGAAAAGAAGAAGCAAGTGTACTCTATATTCAATAGAGAAGATATGAAAAAATGCCCCTATCATCTTCGTGCCACGTTTCATCATGATGGAAAAAGCGGACATGGACATCATTGGGCTTACATATGGGTGGAAACAAAAGAAAAGAACTTGCTTGAGGATATACCAAATGAAGGAAGCTGGTACAAATTCTGTGATGCTCTGGTGACTCCTGCAACGGAGCAAGATATATTGGATGATCCATTTCCACCATTTGCTTTTGCTTATATGGATGCATCTATCCCTACTTTTTCAAAAGACCAATTATCTGACTGCACTCCTTCCGAACTCAAGGTATGTGGATGCTTTGTTGAGAAAACAAGACTAAGGAAATACTGTAGGAATTTATCAAGCTTGATAATACTGAATTTGAGCACGAAATTGCATCCTATAACAATTCAAATAATGTATCATATCCAATAGAAGATGACAGTTGGTTTACAGAGAAAACAGAGGAGTATCAAATAGAACAAGTAGCGCCGGATGACCTGAACTCTGTGGGAACAGCTGTGGGTCAATTAAATACAGATGAATCAAACAGTATACAGACATTTACAGGTCAGGGGTTCAGCAAGTTAAAGGCTCTGACAAACCAAAGGATTGTAGAAGTGTCAGCTTATCCATGCGACGACTTTAGACTATTGGCAAAGTAAGTTTTTTTGTTGTTGTTTGCTTAAAAGTATATTCAGTTTTTATATATATAAGCTTTGAGACCTTTTTGGCCAGAACACAGCATCATTTGAACCTCGAGCATTTATACTTGTTATATTCTAATCAGGTATACTTATTTATTTAAACCATGAACAAGTTCTTTAATAATGTATATAACAGAATGATGATTTCAACAAGGATGATGTGAATGTAGAGGCTTCAAAAACAGATGAAGATTTGAAGTTTGCCTGGAAACACTATGAACTTTACTTGTCAATAGGTCAACTCGTAGTCAAGGCATTACATTTATTTATCAACAGAGACTATCAAGCTGCATTACAGGTTCTACTTGACACAAAGCGAGCTGAAGCATCTTGGAAAACTCAGTTTGTGCTAGATATGGATGCATATAATGCCTATTCAGGAATAAACACCATTTCATTTAATCCAGTGATTGAGATATACGGGAAGAAATGCTTGGAGGTAAA